TAAAACTTATTTTATTATCTGCCAGGAGACAACTTTCAGGTATACAATTTATTTTTAAAATTGTTCATAACCAAATTGACTGCAGTGCCATCTTAAGTAAAATATAATTTATTGTTCCCTCTTATAATACTAGAAATAAAAACACATTTAATATTTATCAAAGTTCCACAAATTACTACCTAAACTCTCCTTTGCAGAGATGTAGCAAATCGTTCAACTCTCACTGACATTGACATTTTCTCTGATTCTTTGATAACTTTCACCAGAAATTTTATGTTTCACATTTAGATTAAGTATTAGTTTTTTTTTTTTTTTTTTTTCATCTTATTTAATATACCTTTATATCATTATTAATTACTAATACTTTTTGTATGCTTAGATTTAGGTTTATAATAATTGTGAAAACTGTTTTTGGGTTCGTCCCGTCTTGTTTTCCTTTTTGTAAATAAATAAATAAACAATATGCTAGTTGTTTGGCCTAAAAAATGTAACTCTACCCCTGTAAATAAATAAGAAGTTATTATGTAGATATAAAAAAGAAGAACTGTTTAGCAGGACTAACGGCAGCGTGAAAGGGCCACATTTTTTAAATTTTCAGCAGTAATCTGTTGGAAGTAGAACAAGTCCCAGACCTGCAAATTTTAAGGTCACTCGTAAAGTCTGACATTACGAACAAAATACCATATGCGCTAGTTCAGTGATGATGTAATTATGGTTCCATTGACAATTAAAGTGACAGTAGCTTTTTTGAGTGCGTTTTATTCGTTTTGTTTACCTAAATTATATCGTTTTTTTCACTTTTATAAATATATTCCTAAAGTAAGTAGATAGCATGTATCAAATATACAATCGTTTAGTTACCAATTACATACCTTTAAACTATTTTTTATGATTAAGTGTAAGGGTTAAAGAAAAGGTCCTTTATTTCTCACAAGTCAATTTAATTGGCGACCGGTTTCGAAGCTGTCACTTCATCATCAGGCACACCTAAATGGAATGTCAAGGAGTCAGTTGTAATAAAAAACAATTATAAAAGCATGAACGGACTTTAACATATACAAAATAACAGAAAAAACAGAAAAAACACAAAAGAAGTTAAACAATAACCTTGACTCACCTTGACTATTTTTATAAAGGAAGCGCTACTAAAAGTTTAACAAAACGAGTTAAAAAAGTCATATGTAATACAATAGTATTTTTTAAAAATATTGTATTATTGTATATTTTTTATGACCTGTAAACAATATTTTGAAATAAAATAAAAACAGTAAAAACGTATGTCAAATTTATTGATGTTTTTGTTAAAAGTTTGGTTAGAATTAAATGTCAGTGGAACCAAAATGACATCACACTGAACTAGCGCATTGTGTATACTTGAATATACGCAAAACTTTCGAGTACTCGCATAAAAATGCGAGTAAGTATTATCAACCGCAAACTTCTTGCATGTGCGTTTAATGAATTGACTTGTGTCATATGTTCTTATAAAAGGATATTTTTTTTAAATAAATGACTTGGAATATTCTCGTATTAGACTGGAAACCTTGAAGATGCCTTTATACCATGGTTATACCAGTGCAGAGACATAATTGGTTCCAGAATAATAATTTATTTGATATTTTAAATGAACATCAGTTTGTGAAAAGATTTATAATTTTAAAAGAATTGTGTCAATTTTTAATAAATACATTCTCGACCTATATAAATTTATATAAATCAACAAAGGTATTTCATTTATTTGGTTATTAGTAGGTTTCTGATTTTGAGGGTTTTAGTAGCTTCAGGGTATTTTTTGCGCCAGGAGGCTGTAAAATGAACATTAGTAGAAATTTATTTGTATCAGTTTGCCGGGCATCAGTGTACCGATGTACTGAAGAAATCAGCAGTGCTTTTAATGAACCCAGATTATTTTTAATAGATGTAATATTTCTTACGAAATTTTGAAGAGCTTAATGCAGTCAAATAATGAAAACGGTCATTCCATGATATAAAATATAAGTATCACGTTGTCATTCAGCGTGCGATTTTAATATACTTATATCGTTTGTCAAAGTGAGAATATAGAACACAAGTAATTGCTAAGGGATCTCAAGAATCTCCTTTTAGGAAAGTATGCGTAAGTGAACCATTCACAAGGAGGTATACGTGTAATTGCGAAGGATGTCAAGAATAGTGCTGCACATTGCTTGATATCTAGAGCTCAGCGTTGGTCTAATCACCTGCTTATATAATAACAGCTGGTTGTTCTTTACACAAAAAATTGGCCAATGGTGGAACTAATTCCCACAATGACGGGGTTTGATTTTTTGAGCTCATTACTCATATCCTTTCAACATACTAAAAGTCTAGAAAAATGTGAGTGTGCGAAATGCGTTTTTTGGCCGCCATTTTTTTTTAATTCATGAAAAATCGTGTGTGGTATCAAATAATGGGAAATTTTATACTGAAAAAGTTTATGATAATGAGCAAAAAAGTTAAAAAATAACAACAAAGTGGAGGGCAAAAAATAGGAAGCCTGTCTAGAAAATTTTATTTTTAATAATCAAGAGGCTGTATAAAAAATGCAAAAATTAAGTCTAGTAGTCTTCTTCAATATTTTCAACACGTTCTTTCGAGGCACTATTTCTATAGTTGCAGAATATCTCAGTACATTCCACACCATACCCCCGACAAGTACATCTACCTCTACCACACGGCTCATTTGTATCTGTTTTGCAGGTGCAGCGGATTGTGTTTATTAATAATTCTGGTGCAGGGCTTATTTCGCATATTATGGGCTGTAGTTGGTCTCCTTCTTTTTTCCAACCCCACTTTTCGGGGTTGGCAATATTGGTGTTCATAGTTTTCCAATAAAGGCATTGTAAATGTACGCGAAGAAGGTGCTGAACAGCAGCATCTTCAGTTGGTGGCAATCTTGCAATATTGAATTCACTTTTTGCAATTGTGATTTTTTTTAAGTAGAGATTATATCGTAGTAGATTTAAGGTCTCCTCTAATTTTTGCAGATCTGGATTTACAGACAAACATACCAGCATTCTCTGAGTGAGGAGTCTTGTGTCAATATGTTGAACAAATCCGTCAATGACAATACATTTTCTTAAAATCTTCATTGTGACAGCTTGATCTTTTTTAACCATGGCAACAGAGTTAAAAGCTTTTTTAGTCAGTTTGAATTAGATTTGAAGTCCAATAAACTTAGCATCATCTGCAGTTATCTTGTGTTGACTGTCTACTATCCCACTGAAAATATTACGTAGCTGAACGCATTCTGAATTGAATGGATTGTGATCTTGCATAAATTTAAGTTATGTAAGAAAATCTTTCATATCTCTAGATGTCCTAGCATCGAACATTTCAATATGTTGTTCACTGCTAACATGGGAGACGGCAGTGAGATCGCTCATAGCAGCAATAACTCCACAACATGCAGGGTGGCTCAATATCCATGTAGCTCATTGACTTTCACCCATGCTCCTTTTGCGTGTTAACCCACCTCGACTTTTTGTTGATCGCATTAACTTTTGTTCAATAAACATATCTGTCCATATTCCAGCCCACAATTAAGTGTGTCTACGAAGAGTGAAATGACCAGCACTTAACAAACTATAAACATCTTAATGATTTTTTTCCACTTGCCTCATTTGCTGTAGATCCACCCTAACACATTTTGCATAGTTGTTGTGCCCCGCAGCCGCAAAGAAAGGTAGCATGTGCTTTATAGTTTACAAATGCATTTCTAAGTTTCCTGTTCGTTTAGCCCAAATAAATGCCTTGGTAATGTCAACCATATCTGAATACATGATCCAAAGTTTGGCTTTTCTACTTTGGACCTTCAAAGCGTTCTTCTTTTCTAGCAATTCAGAAAAGACAACTGTAGTAGTTTGGTAGAGGAACTTACTTCAGAGACTGTATTCTCTCTACTATATAGCTTATCGTAAAGTTCCCCAAGACTGTGTAAACTTAAATGTATTTCACCTGTATCTATTGGTTCCACCTGTCCCTCACTTGACAGCTCTGCCGAAAGTTGTAAGTTACTGTTGAGAATATTCTGAAGCAACATTGATGTAAGTATAGATGAAAGCAGTATGTGTCCTCTGACAGCTCTTGAAAAAGCTTAACCTGTAAGCATATGTGAGACTGTGTTTTCTACGTAAATGGTCTTCAAGGTCTCTTCGATTCCAGATCCACATAAATGTTCACCAATTGTACCCAAATAGGATATCAGTATATAGAAGCCACCCGGACGAATTGAAATGTTTGGGAATTCTTCGGATTTACTGCAAGCAACTTCTATAGCCTTAATCCACAGACACTGATCAAATGTTACAACTGGTAAGGGTATATTGAGTTTTTTTTGCTTCCGGATATATAAACTTTAGTATGGTATAAACACAGCTGTGAGTTGCTGGATTCATATAAATCATAGGTAAAAATGTTGTGGATACTATCCCTGGATGTTCATCTTTGTTAACGACATTTTGCATGTATCCATTCCATCCAGGACGCGGCGTCTTCAACAACTTACTGGTGTTTCACAAAAGATCTAATAGATTCTGTTTCATGTCATTTAAAATCAGTTCTTTAAATATAATTTTGTTTATGTTGGATTTAAGAGACTGAAAGAATCTAATTTCTATTTTTGCTTCTGCAGAGATATCAGCAGCATTAAGCCGGATTTTGCAACGAGGGATCTTTCTCTCTGACAACAAATTACACTTTGTACCAGGTGGTCCGGATTTGCACATGATAATTCTCATTCCAAGGAAAGTGTTTTGACCATCGATGGTGGCAATATTTTGGTCCACATAATCAGCTATCTACTGACAGAAATGACCTGGTGGAACTTGAAAATTTGGTGTCTTGTCTATTATTGCAGATTATAAATACTTTAGTACTTCATCATAGGATATGAAAAACCCAAGTCTGTAAAGCTCGTCTACACGTAACCGAGAACCAAAATCGCGATGAAGCTGGACACCAACACCAAGTGATCTTGATCTTTAAGCTTGCACCAAAGCCTGTCCAATGGAAATCTTCAAATCACTTGCCTTAGGACCAATGATAATATCCAAGAAATGATGCAAAACTGATGGCGACAACTTTTTATTTTCCTGTTCAGATGCAATCTCTGATGACGAGGGATAGTGCTCCGTTGTAGTTGATAATAGTTTGATTTCCGTTTTGATCAGTTTTGCTGCTGCTTCAATCAGATGATATTTCTCTGTTTCAGGGTCTTCTAATTTTTGCTTCTTCTGGTAATCCAAAATAATATTAGCCACTGTTTCATCCATATTAGGCAATCCATACTTCGAGGAAACGATGATATTCCCAAAAAAAATGTTCTTTAAGCTTTTGCAACATGTGGCGTTCACTATATGGTTCACTACCAACTGGTAGAAAGTCTTTCGTTTTAGTAACCAGCTGCTGGGCACAAACCGGTTCATCATTTTCTTTAAACCACTTACATACTTCCAAAAAAGCATCTAGCTTGTCTTTCTCCATAGGACGACCAAGAGGTTTGTAACGTAATTCGTCTTTGGAATTATCTTAGTACTTTTTTGGGATCGGGTCACCTTTTCGAAAATTTACGCTGCATGTCTGGTGGTAAATGGCATATGCTGCTGGCAAGTCATTAACTAATAGCAAACGTGATTGAACCTTTGCTGACCATAAATCATTTCTGGAGTTACACGCTTGAAACAGTACTGTGCGGACCTGTATAACCCAAGATTTATCCCGTTTCTCACGATCAGTAGCAAAGCGACAACAAAATAAACATTGTTCTGTGAATAAAAATGTTGGTATATTTGACCGGAATACTCGCCTGCAACTACCTTGTGCTTCATCCTGAGTAGATAACTTTAATTTTGCATCATTCTGGATATTATTAGGATTTGTATATACACGGCGGCATTTAACTTGGACTCTTACGGGGTCATCAGGAAATGGTTCAAATAACTCATGGATATTGTCTTTTCGAATTTTACTTGCACTTATAATTCCTTGTATACCTTTGGCAGATAACTTAACGAACTTTGAAGTTTCGCCTTCTTTTTCAGAGCACAAGCAACAGTTTATATATGCCATGTTGTTTCTTAGGATTTGTCACCTGAAAAAAAAAAGAAATTTACATATTTTTACATGCCGTATAGACTTAGTTTTTTCCATACTATTTTATTATTCATTTTTATTTTTTTTAATCCATAATATGTTTTTTTTAGCATAAAATTTCCCGTTATTTGATACCACACACGATTTTTCATGAATTTTGAAAAAAAATTCAAGATAACGGCCAAAAAACGCATTTCGCACACACATTTTTCTAGACTTTTATAAGCTTAAAAATTCAAACCTCGTCTTTGTGGGAATTAATTCCACCCTAAACTCTACTTCGACTATATTAGGTTTGTTCCAACAAGAGTCCAAATCAGTACATGACCGTCAGACGCATGCGCAGTTTAAATTTGAGCGTTCCAACAAACTTGAAACCAAATCCCTGATTGTAAGTCCACTGTTCCAACAAACATTTTGACCAATTTCGGATCGGGATCAAACCGTCAGACTATTTTGTGAATTTTTCTCGGATTAGCAGTTTGAGTCTGCGCATATGATTGATTTCTGTATTATTTTCAAATTTATTTTTTCCGTTTGTGATTGACATTTGACATTTAGCTGTTGTTTTCGTTTCATTTTATAAATTTTTGTTTAGTTTTTGTATGCTGTGGTTTTTGTTATAAACATGTTAGAAATTATTGACGATTTTTCATCAGACGATTCTTTCGATTCTGATGAATTATCTACAAGTAGTGAAGATGATTTAGTAGAATTAGAAGAAGTATTATTGGGACTGCATCCTCGAAAAAAAAAAAATGAAAATTACCTAGTTGAAATAGTCCCACAGTATAGTGAAGTTTTTGTAGAACATTTTCAAGTTAATAGAATTAGTGTTGAGGATATAACAAATAGATATTCCGAAAGTATTTATTTCAATCAATATGCTGGACAATTTGGGAAGTTAAGTGCAAGAGATCAAGTTTGTATCTACTTATGGTTTGTTGGGCATCAAACGGCAAGCTTTAGAGATGTGGCTGATCGGTTTGATGTTACAATTAGCACTTTACACCGAATTATAAGAAGAATATCCTACTTCTTGTCAAATCAATTGAATAATATGATAACTTGGCCAAATGAAGAAGAAAAAATCAAATATAGCAGCATTTTAGGCAAAATGGATTTCCAGGTGTACTTGGGGTTATTGATGGTACACAAATCAAAATTGACAAACCATCACAAGATCCAGATTCTTATATAAACAGAAAAGGATACTTTTCAATTCAGGTAAAAAAGAAATCTTATTTCCTGTATAATTCACCCCCTTACAAGTCTGTCTTTGGATTCTTTGAAAAGGATACTATTAATATTTTCAAATAAAAAAACTAATGTGTCAACACATAACTTTCCTGTAGTTATTACACTTTATTAGAGGCTTTTTTGGTTATAAAAATGTGGTAATAATTTGTACATATTAGGGGACAGTGGATATCCACTTTTACAACACCTGATAACTCCATTTAAAAATAGAGGACAGTTGACAAGACCTCAAATAAGATATAATACAATACTGTCGAGAAATAGAGTAATCATTGAACACACCATTGGAATTATATAACAAAGGTTTCGACAGTTATTTCATCTAAAACTGAGAAATATCAGGGACATGGTAAACCTAATTAGACCCTGTGTTGTTCTTCACAATATATGTCTTGGGGACAATTTAAATTTCAACCGAGAAGTTTTAGAGGAACCAATTCAAGAACATATTGAAAATGACGATATAGAAGATATTGAGCAAGACAGGAATGCAATAGAAATTAGGAATCGTATTGTAAATATATTATAATTATTTTTAATTTACCTACCTTTGTACAATTATTTTTAGTATAATTTACTCCTTCTATGCAGCCTTTAAAACTAGTTCTTATTTATGTACATTTATTAATACAATAAAAACTGTTTTAGCATTTGGACTTGATTTTATTTCTTGCTTATTTAAATTATAGTACCTAGGTATTTAACAAACAAAAAAAACAGAACCTATTCAAAAATATATATTGAAAAGTAAATACATAAGTAGGTAGCTAATAACAAAATAAACACAACTTAAACACAAAATAAAAATCAGCCTTTTAAGGAACTAAAACTTAAAAACAAAAATCAGCCTTTTAAGGAACTAAAACAAAAATCAGCCTTTTAAGAAACAAAACTTAAAATATTTACAATAAACAGGCAAAATACATTTTATTATTTAAATAAAATATTTTTATTTATAAAAATGTATAATAAAAACAAAAAAAACAGCCTTTTTAAGGAATTAAAAATAAAATATTTACAATAAAGAGGTAAACGAAGACTCTCCACGCTCAGTTAAAGTTTTGATCAAATCGTTTCTTTCCGCTAAAAGGTCATTTCTACGTTTAATTTCTTTTAGTTTTTGTTTCTGAATTTCTCCTTCTATTTTTAATCTTTTGCTTTGATATTCTTTCCTATCTTTTCTTATTTCATCTAAGATAGCATTTCTATTGACTAATATTTTGCTTGCTTTTTTTGTTTTGTGTTTTTCATTTGGAATCAGCACATTCTCCTGATTATTACTGAGGCCGTCAAATCTTTCATCAGATATTTCATCTATTGTTGTTGATGAAAGCAATATTTCGGGTCTAATATTTTTTTTTGCGCAAGATTTCCTCCATTTGTTGAGCATATGGAAATATCTTACGGCCTCCCCCAGTTTGTTTATTGTTGTCTACATACTTCTTAAAGTTTCAATCAAGGACCCGCCATCTATTTTCGACATTGTTGGGGGTCGAATTGATGCTGAAAGTTTCATTTAACTTTTTGGAAATCACTTCCCACAGCTTCTTAAGGCTTTTAATTTCAAAACTTCCCAATTTTTTCCTATATGATCCATACAACTCTATTAACATGTTTGTATGTTCAACTGTCCAAAACCTGTATTCATTTTTTTCAGTTTGTGATTCTGGTAGAATTACAAACTCTATTAATTCTTCAAGGAAAAAATACATATTTAGAAAAAATGTCAAAAAAATATACCATTTTATTACCTTTCAAATTGTTCATAATTAGACTAATTGTCTTCCTATTCTAATTTGTTAAATATTTATCTGGATCTCGACGGCGGATTGAACTAATACAATTTTTAGATAAAACCACGATAAAACTCAGAGGGATCTACTATGATAAAACTAAAAATAAAAACACGGTGTGGAATAAAAAATATAATAGACATTTGACAAGCGTGATGACACTTGGCAGTCAGAATTGCATTCCAACAAGAATTTAGTCAGAAAACAGTACACAAACAGTGCAGTAGTCACGCCTGCGCAATAAACAAATCAGAGATTAATTTCGGATCGGTCATGGATTCCTTGTTGGAACAAACCTATTATTAAACGACTTGCTGTTCATATTAAGCAGAGAATACATTAGCGTAATAGCCAAATTTGCCTATAAGACGAAATTGATTACATGCGCGTAATAGTTGAGTCTCCTATCTAGAACAAAACCTAAATATTTTATTTTGTGTTTCAGCGAAACAGAATCAGGTCCGATGTTTTTTCTTTTTAAAACAATCTGTTCTGTTTTCGTCCCATTCACCTTCATTTTGTTCCTCTACACAACTCTATCGATATAAATATTTAGTCTCCTGTTTGATAAAGGCGTAAAATGACTTCTTATAGAAGCAAGCTGTTTGTATATCATCATACATCGGAAAATCATGTGTCATGACGGTATACAAATTTGGAGAACATCACTAATCCTTGAGAAACGACTGCTTGTTCGGTGCTCTACAAACTGAGCTAACTGCTAATTTTTTTTTTAATTAAATATTTGTATTGTACATTTTTTAGCCTATATTTTTTACAATTTTGAGTTGTCTGAAATCTCGTTTGCAGAGGTTTTATACTAAATCCTTGCAGATGACACTTCCTGGTGGTTCCGTCTACCACTTCACAAAATTCCAGGTTGAGGTACAATTATACCACCTTGGGGCCGCTTTAAGACTAGTATGGCAATTTTTTTAATTTGAAACTCATACGATGCAAATTAAAGTACATTAAAACTGTAGCTTTGTAGAAATATGCTAATTTTAATAATTTTTTCGACATTTTCAATAAATTAAAAATAGATGTCTCACAGTATCTCTACTGGGTCGTTATTTTCTTATTCAAGTAGTATTAAATTCTTTATTTATGACATTCAAATATACCTAAATCTTAAAATTTTTAGGATTGTGTTAAACATGTTGCTCGGATTGTCTGCTAGCTCTTAGACTAACGATTGAAAAATCACAACATCGTCCAACTGTACTTTTTCTACAAACTGGCGTTTTTATCTTTAAACATTTATATAGAGGTAAATATTTAAAGATTCTTTGTGAATACGGATGTTAATGTTTTAAGAT